GCAGTGAACACTGAAGCCAGGAGACCCTGCTGCTATCCACCCATTCCCACCTGCTCTAATAGATACCTTCTTCCTCCGTCAACCTCTTCAGACCTCCTCCCGGCCACTCCCAGCCCCCTCTGCCCCTGCTCCCACCCCACCAGCTTTTTCCAACTACTGGGTCTTCCTGATCATGCTGAGGAGATGAGGGGCAAGGGCACCCATCCTTGGGGGATCTAAAGGGGAAATTGAATGGGTGAGAAAAGCATGACCATGTCACAATACGGCCTCAAACTTGCACAAACTGTTAGAGCGGTAAGAAATAGAATGTGCATGTGCTGAGGGGGGTTTGGAGAGATCATGGCCAGGAAAGGGTTCATCAGGGGCAATTTTCTGTGGGTGCAGCACTTTGAGGGTTGGAGCACGTGCAGAGGGCGCTGGGCATGTGGAAGAGCTCCAAGCCACGTGGAGCTGCGAGCAGAGCACATTCACAAACACAGCTCGGGGACTTTGCCCTTCCCAGTGCTGCAGCCCCATGAAATATTTAGGTTTCTGGACATGGCTCATCCCTTATTGTCCCCCTCAGCAAGTACACTTCCCCTACATCATTTATGGCTGTCCCCTTTCCTCCTCTTGGAGTACTGCAGAGAAGGGAAGCCTGGACCCCAGACTGGAGGAGGGTCTGTCCTAACCCTGTGTCCAGGGGGCAGGATCCAAGCCTACCTTCTCACACCCCACCCCCCACCCTGTGTAGCCCTGGGAGCAGGCCAGGAGGGTGAGTCTAGGAACTGAGAGGTCATTTTCAGCCTGGAAGACTGGGGAAGCGGAGTAAGGAGGGAGTGTAGAAGATGCAGATGTGCTGGCTCCAGAAGGGAGAGGAAAGGAGTCTGGGAGCGATGAGAAAAGCTGCATTTATTGAGCACTTACAATTTATTGTGCTAAGTCGGTTACATGCACCATCGCCTTAAATCCACACTAAAATTTAGGATTTATTATCCCCGTTTCATAGCTAGAGAAGCTGATGCTCAGAGAGGTTAAGTAACTTGTCTAAGGCAGCCCAGACAGTCCAGCTCCAGAAGCCAAGCTCCTACATACTCCAAAAAGGTCTCACCTTAGTTAGGGGTGGGAAGACAGGGTGTGTGTTGTGTGTGTGTGTGTATGTGTGTGTGAGAGAGAGAGACAGAGAGAGAGAGAGAGACAGGAGAGGCATGTCAGGCAGTGTCTGTCCCATTCCCTCTTACTCCCAGAAGATGAAACTGCTCTCAATATAATTCCCTCCCCCAGCTCCCCCTTCCCCCTGATTCAGCCCCAGCCAGAATTCCTAAATACTTTACCTGTTTATTAGACAAATATTGTTGGCCAGAGATTGGGAGACCTTGAGGAAATGGGAAAAGGAAGGTGAGGAGATAGAGGGAGAGCCAGAGAGAGAGAGAGAGTGAGAGGTAGAGCAAGAGACTGACAGAGACACGGGGCGGAGCAGAAAGCAGGGGCATTTGAGAGAGTACTGGGTACAGAGGGCCCGGATGGACACTGACCCACAACCTGGACAGTCAGAGCACAGCCCATCCACTGGATGGTGAGGGAATGGATGGAAGGTCACAGAAGGAACTCCTACTCCCCTCCCCCCACCCCCCAGCTCTGTCTCCACCCACCCTTCCCCCTTCACACCCCAGCTTCTCCTTCCCCTCCCCCACTGTCTTCTCGAGAACAATTCTAATTAGACTAAGTGACTAAGAGGTGGTTTCAGCCTGAACAGCCAATTAGGCCGGGAGGAAGGGAAAGGAGCTCCCCCCAAGTCTCCCACCTCCATCCACCCCCCTCATTTTACCCAGACCCGGTATTCTGCGCCCAAGACTCCGGACTGTCACTCAAGTTTCCCTGATTCTGCTCCTCCCCCCATTACCCACTTGTGTCCCCATTACCTGTGGCCAGACAGCCCGTGGCCCACTCAAGGCCCTACCTTGAGCCCCTCCATCCTCAGGCCCTGAGTCCATTCAAGCCTCCCTGGCAGGGGTTGCAAGGAAAGCATGGGGTCCTCCTTGGGAGGCTGTCTTTCTGAGTCTCTTTATTTCTGATGTTTCTCCTCTGTCTCTGCCTCTCTCTCTTCTCTTCCTCTGGCACTTATTTCTAACATCCATGGACCAGGCCTACTGGTTGCCATGGAGACGCAGTGTGCAGCTGGGTGGTGAGTGTGTGAGAGGAGCTGTGTGTGCTCTGCAGCACGGTGGGGGGGGGGGCTGTGCGTGAAACGTATCCATGTGCAAGAAATCTTTCTTCCAGGTCTCCCTGAAGGGAGACCCAGGCCAAGGGGGAGACTCCAAAAGGCCCCAATGATCCTAAAACACTGGGCCATATTCATCAGGGACACATCCTCTCCCTCAACCCCTGCAGGGGCAGATACTAAACTCTGTTCAGTCCAGGCTCTGGATTGGCAGATTCTGGAGGGGCCCCAACCTGCCCCTCCTGTCCAAGGAAAGGATCAGGGTGGGCAGAGAGGCCTTCCCCCCCCGCCCCCCCCCCCCCCCGACAGAACAGCTGGAGGGCAGATTAAGCTATGCAGATGAACCTACTGATGAGGCCAGCAAGCCCCCAACACCACTCCAGGGCCTCGGAGCAGGGGAAGGTTGGCCCATCAAGCTGGATAATCCCCTCCATTTCTATTTACCTTACCCTGTATTTGTCCAGACGAGTGGGAGAAAGTAAGAGACCTAGGTTCCTGCCCTCAGGAAGCTTAACATCTTAGAGGAATCAGGCTAACTCCTTTCATGTCTCCCATCCCAGGGCTTTGGCAGCCCCACTTTCCTGAACCTGGAATGCTCTGTTCTGAGCTCTACATCTTCAGGTGTCGTCAGAGAAGCTTCCCAGGCCTCACTGAGTAAGGCAGCCCCTTCCTTTCCCCCACCTCCAGTCATCTTCCTTCATGTCCCACTGTTTGTTTCCTTCACAGCACTTTAACATAATCTATAATTATCTCATTTGTTTGTTTGTTTATTGTCTGTCTTCTCTACTGGAATGGAAGTTCCAAGAGACAGTAGGGATCATGCCTGTCTGATTCAGAGCCGCAAGGCCGGCACCTGGCACGGGGCCTACCACATTGTAGCTGTTAGGTATGTGTTCAATCAAAGAATGGACACGTTGTTTCGCTGAAGCCCCACAAGGATCTTCCGTGTCGGACAGCATTATTATCCCCATTTTATAGATGGAGAAACAAAGGCACAGTCACCTGGCCAAGGTACGGCCGACCACTAGGAAGCAGTCCAGCCAGACTTCTAAAGTAGGTCTCTGATGCCAGGTGTGAGGGAAGGAGGTGGGGACCATCTTTCCTAACCTGCAAGCAAGGGCTCCCCTTCCTTTTTGTCTGTGGGTGTGTCTCCACTCCCAACCTAGGCATCCCCAGAGAAACCTGTGCGGAGAAGCGGGGAGGACAGTTAAAACCTGAGAAGAATGTGAATGTGACCTCTTCTTTCAGAGGCTTAGAATCTCTCCGCTTGGATTCAATGGCTCCGCTTTCTTTCGCTCCTTAGGTTGCCTAGCAGGCCCTTCTAGTTCTGCACCCCCCCTCCAATTTTACCTGCCCTCCTGAGCGACATCACTTTCTCCTCCTCTTACCCCAGGCCCTTGCACACACAACTGCCTCGGGCCAGATCTGTCCTTGGTAACTCAGCTCTGGCACCACCCCTTCCAGGAAGCCTTCCGGACTCTACTGGAGGAGGCACCTCCTTTAGCTCTCCAGCCTGAATTTACAGCTCAGTGCCGGGCTGAACACCTGATATGGTTATTATTTACCTGTCTGCCTTTCTCAGAGAGACAGTGTGCCATTCTTGGGGTGTCCCAGTACCCTGTGCTGGGCAGACACAAGGGAGAGGCTCAGGAATTGTTTACAGAAGGAGTGAACCAACCAGGGGCAGGATACCCACGTCTCTTGACCCCTGACATCTTTTTCAGGGCTAGGCCTTAACAGGAGCTCCTTACCCCCAGCTGTCTGGCCAAGTCAGGGGTGGGGATGAGGCGAGGTCCTATCAAGTGAGGCCTCAAGGTTAGGGGCTGGTCACCCCCGTCAGGTGGGAGGGTTTGTGATTCTTTAACTGGAGGATTGGTTGGGGGCCCGTGGGTTGCTCACTGAACTGGAGAGCTGACCTGATTCAGAGGCTGCCAAAGGGGCCTCAGCCCTTCCTCGCCTCCCCGGGACCCCAGGCTCTGGAACACCAGATTCAAGACTGATCTTGGTGGCGTCTTCTTCTTACACCGCCCCCCACCCCACCCCCAGCCGTCCCTCACAGCAGATCCAACCACATGTCTCTGAATGTAGTAAGGGGACTTGGGGGGGGGTTGCGGGGAGAAGGGGCGTCAGGCCCTGCGAAGCCCCGCGTATAGGAATGGATGCAGGGGCGCCTGCGACCTCCGCTGTACCCGCGGTCGATCCGGGTTTACACGGAGGCTCATCCCGGATTAGTCCCTGCGCTCGGCTAATCCCAGCCGCTGAACCGACCCCGGGGTCGAGGAGCCGGGCCTACTCGGTGCGGGCGGGGGTAGGGGGAACGCGGGCCGAGCGAAAGCACGCGGAGGGAGGAGGGGGGTGGGGGGAGGGGCGCCCCGGGAGGCGGGGCCGGGAAAACCGGCTGGTCCGGTCTCTGTTCTTCGACCTCTCCCCAGCCGGTGTTTACCCGGGAGCCGGACGGAGGTGGCCGGGGCCGCTCGGACCCGGAAGCAGGGGGAGGGGAGCGCAGTCGGAGACGAGGGTGAGACCTTTTCAGGTCCCCTAAATCGACCTCCAACCCTGGTTCCTGAGCGTGGGAGAGAGCGACCGACAGATGACTCCCGCCCCTTCTCCCTTCAGTTCCGCAGTTCATACTTGTTGCCAAACGAACGGGGAACAGGAAAGGATACCAGCCCCCCGGGAGAAGGCAGCCGCGCAGCGTACCCTTCCCCAGCGCCCCTCATCGCCCCCCCATCCCTAGCCCGCACCTCCGCTCCGGGTGGGGCCCTGCAGGGCGGGCACAGCGCAGCGGCTGGGGGAGGGAGGCACTTTGCCATGCACGGAGTAGGTGTCTGTCCTCGCTCTGCGTCCTTTGCCCCCCCATTCCGGAGTGGCACCGATTAATCTCAATGGGCCTCGTCCCTCTTCTCTCGGCCGCGTCCCCTGGCCCCCTCCAGGGCCTCTACCCCAGACTTAGCCCCCCATCTCCCCGGGACGCAGGCCTGAGGGCCCGGAAGAAGTGAGGTGGGGTCCGGTTTTCACACTTTTATTGTAAAGCTCGGGAATAATTACACGGGTCTTCCATTGACAGCTCAGCAAACAAACCGGAAACGAACCGAACCGGAGGGGGTAGGGCGGTGCCTGCGCATGCTCGCGGCGGGGGAGGGGGCGGTCAGAGAAAGAGAAAGACAGAAAGAGACAGAAATCGTTACAAATCAACGGGATTGTGCTCGCAGCGCCGGGGATGGGGCGGGGTGGGGGAGAGTGGCGGCGGGGCGGGGGCCCTTCCCGGGAGGAGCGAGGCGGTGGGAAGTGGCACGAACCAAGAGAAACACGACCCCAGTGTGGGCGCCCGACGAGCCCAAAACCCCCCTCCCCGAACCCCACCCCCCCAACACACGAGAGAGACGCGGCCCCCCTCCCCACTCAGATAACCCGAGGAGACACAGTCTCCCTCTCCCCACGGGCAGAGACACCCGCCCGGGAACCCCATGGGCGAGACACAGTCCCCCCCTCCCAGAGAAGTCCCGCGTGGAGACGCCCCCTAAGAGACTTTCTCATGGCCAACATAAGCCTTCCCAACACCAGGAGATAGCCCACACCCAGGGAGGAAATGGCTCCAGAGGCCGGATCCCCGGGAGAGAGGTTTCCCAGAGCCTCCAGGAGAAAAGACAACTCAGAGCTGCCCAGTCTCATCCCAAAGTGCTGCAGGTCAGAGACACCCCCAGAGGAGAGATGCAGGGAGGGCCAGAAACATCCCTTCCCAGACATGCTTCAGAGATAGCCCCCTTCCCTGGGAAGAGAGATGGCCCAAGACTGATATGCCTTAAGTACTCCCAGGAACCCTGGGAGGAAAACAGGCTCCCCAGAGAGCCTGGATAGGGGGGAGACATGCTCCCATGGTCCCCAGAGGGAATACATGTCCCTCCAGAGACTCCCAAAGGGAGAGAAAGGGCCTAGGGAGCCCCCGGAGGTGAGAGATGCCCCAGAGACCCTCCCCCAGGGATGTGAGACACGCTTCAGGGACCCCAGGAGAGAAATGTCCCCATGTACCCTCCCCCTACCAAGAGACATGCTCTGAAGTAGGGAGTTGGGGACCAACTAGGTCCCCTCTAGGAAGACACTGACTGGGTCAGGCTGGGTTTGAGGGGGGGGGTCTCCTCTGGCCAAATGTCGCCTATTTGTACATAAAACTGTACGCGACACAAGGCATTGGGGAAGGGCTTCACAGACCTAGGACCAATGGGGTGGTCCCCAGTGCTGTCACCCGTCCCCTGCCCACCTTTGGTTTCACCTCTCGAGTGCCCAGGTGGTGACAGACTCAGTGCCCTGACCCCAACCAGGGGGCTGGGACGCTGCCTTCGCCTGTAGGAAGGGCTCCTCCTCTGTGCTTCTCAGCCCTCCCAGCCATCTGGGCTACCCCCTTCCTTCTGGCTTCTCCATTGTGCAAAATGCTCCTCTGCCCTTCCACTCAGTGCTCAGGGGTCTCCAAGACCAGGGCAGGGTGCCCAGGCCACCAGGGGCTTCCAGGGGAGCCCACTGACTCCAGGAATGCCTCCTTTCTGGACCACCCTCTCCACCAAGCAAATGGGCCTCATACAATCTTCTTGCCAGAACCCTGACCTCCAGGACCCAGGACAGCCCTTGAGGCCATTGCCCCACCAGCTGGGCACATCATGTTACCAACTCTACCGCTATTGCACCTGCCCTGTTTGTGCGGGGGGAAGGGGGCTCTCTCTTTATCAAGCCCCCAGCCCACTTGTGGGCCTCCCCCAGGGAAAGGAGCCTTTGGCCAACCCCCAGACCTGGTTGCTGCCACCCCAGCCCACTCTACCCTCTGCCCTCAGTAGAAGGGCTGTGTATGCTGAGGCTACCAGCCTAACAATGCTCTCCTTCCCAGCACTGTTACCCCATCCCAAGTTAGGGGCAAGGAGCAGAGAATAGGGTGATTCTTCAGGCCCCTGGCTTTCCCGAGGTGGAGTGGGGTCTCTGGGGTTACAGGAGTCCAAGACCCCAGCAGCACAGCTCCCAAAGGCACCAGACGACCCAGCAGCCTGTACCCACCCCTCCCACCCTTGGGCCGCCCCCCAAGCTTAGACTAAGTCAAGCAAGGGCCATACCCTGAGTCTCCAGCCTCCCAGCCTGGGCCCCTTGGGGAGCTGGAGAGGTATGGGCCAAGGCAGTGGGGGTTTCTGGAAGGAAGAGGGACTGAGGCTTTGAGATGGCCACAGTGGGAGATGAGGGCTCTACAGGATGCCCCTCACACCCTGGCCCCCTGAGGTGCAGAAAGGAATCCCACCTCATCATGGCTGACTGGGCTTCTCTGCCCCCCAATCTGCCCACCCCCTCCCCCAGGGGACCCCTGACCCTGGCAAAGGGAAGCCCAACTGGAAGAAGGGGGCCTGGAGCCCAGGGTGCCCTGAGGCAGCCCTTCCCACCCCCTGAGATCAAGGCAATGGTGGTTTTACAGGCTGACGGGTCAGTCATGGCAGGGGCTGGGGGGTGGGGGGCAGGGAGGGGGCAGGGTGCAGGTTCCCCCTATTAGAGGCAGCAACCAGCCACCCCTTGAGCAAACCTTCCTGCTCCCAACTCACCCAACCAGGCCAGAGGCACAGTCATCCCACCCCTGTCCAGCTGCCCCCCACAGCCTCAGGGCCCCTCTGTGATGCTCATCTGGATGTGGGGGGACCAGCCTGAGTGGGGATTTCCCCCCCCAGGGCACAGCGCAACAGTTCCAAAAAAATAGAGATTTGTATTTTTAAAAAAAATTAAATAAAAGCCCAGCTCTGCTGATAGGCGAATGTTACCCCCATCCCCACCCCCACCCACCCATTGTTTCCCTGGCCTGCACCCCCATCCCACTACGGCCCCAGGGGTATTTACAACATGGAACAGTAGAGGCCTGGGGTGGGGGGCACTGCGGCAGGGAGGAGGGGGCACAGGGCAGCCTCCCCCCCCCAGAGGGGTCCCCCAAGACAACACAACATCAACAAGAAAAGTTGCAAATCAGGCAGAAATGGGGACATCATTCCAAGGTCCTTATATACAGACACTGCATGACCAGCAGGGAAGGGGGCTGCCCAGATGGGATCAGGCATGGGCATGTGGCAGGCAGGTGGGCCAGCCCAGGAGCAGTATAGGAAGACAAGGCCTCCGCCCCACTCCCACCCCCATCCCCACCCCACCTTTGGTAACAAAAGCCCTTCAGGGAGCCCCTGGTGGTCAAGAGTTTCCTCTGGAAGTTCCCAGGGAGAGGGGCTCCCCAGTTCAGCCCTGAAGCAGGGCTGGAATGGGGACATCCTGTCTCCGCCCTGGTCGGCCATGTGGGAAACAATGAGTTAAAAGTGTGTTGCCCACCCTTGACTCCACCATCTGCCCAAAGTGAGGGGGTTCTCCCTGGAAGTCGAGGGAAGGGAGCCTAGTCATTGTAGAGGAGCCCTCTTGGGCACCAGCTGGGGGGAGCCCCATAAAGGGGAAGAAAGTCTCCCAGGGGCTGGGGGATGAAGTGAGGAGAGAGGACCTGGACCCTGCTTGGGGGAATGGCCTGCGTGGTCATGAGGCCAGTACTCACCCCCACCTGGGGCCCTGGCCGGGAAGTCCACGCTGAAGGGGTCAGGAGCAGGACCCTGGAATGGGCCCAACTGGGACCCGGCCGGTGGCTGGGGAGGGGGCATGGCCACCGGCCAGAAGGGGGCTCACAGGTAGATCTCGCGCTTGGCTGTCTGGGCAGATGCCGGTGTGGCTGCAGGTGGGAAGTCCGAGGTCTGGGTCAGGGGGATTTCCTCCAAGGTGGCCGAGTCCTTGCAGGAATCATGGCTACTGTGGGAGAAGGCACTGTAGGAGGGCAGGAGGCGCACGGGGGCCGTTTTGGTGTTCCGGTCTTCCGGGGGGCTGGGGCTGCCGGCGCCCACAGGCTCCTGCCCTCCTCGGTCCTGGTAAGGCACGAAGGTGGAGAGTTTGAGGGCGCTGCTCTTGGTCCGGCGGCTGGGAGACGACTGGCCAGGCATCCAGCACGTGTCGGAGTGGCCAAACTCGCTGCACTCCTGGGTACATGTGCCCGTCATGGCCACATCAGGCAAAGGGCGCAGGTCTGCACGAGAGAATGGGGAGGACGGTCTTCAGCTCCACCCCAGGGCTTCCCCCAGGCACCTACGCCCTGCCTCAGAACAGGGGTGCACGCCCCTTTTGCCCACTGAGTTTGCGGGCATACACACCCGCAAATAGACACTCAGCCTCCTGCCATCCACCACAGGCTCTTCTCTCTCAGACAGTCTATCCTTAAATAGATGCGTTCCTCCATCCTCAGCCACCCTCCAGCTCTCCTATCAACACACCCACCAAATCTACCCTCAGACAGGTGCACAAACACACAATCCATCTACGCACTCCCTCATCTATCTCCAGACAGCCTTAAAGAAGCAAACCTATCCTTAGGGGGTGAGGAAACCCCCATCCTCACTTAAGGGCACAATATCTCTGTCAGGCACACGCGCGCGCATGCGCGCGCACACACATACACACACACACACGCCTATCCTCAGATAGGCATGGACACACAAATCTACACTGGGCTTCTCCATCCTCAGATGAAGGCGGGCCAATACCTTCCTTCTGAACCCCCTCAAGCCTCACCATGCTCGCAGCTATCTTGGAACCCCATCCTACCCCAGCACAGTGACCCCCTGCTTTTAAAGCCAGGGAGAGGGGATGAGCTTCTGCGTGGGCAGTTCACATAGAAGCACACACCCACACAGTCACAAGCACACTCATGCAACCCCTCCCCACCTCACTCCAGCCCCCTATGCCAACCACCACCCCTGGCCTAGCTCCGGCTCCCTGCCCAGAACCCCCATGGGAATAGGAGTTGGCCGCCTGACATCAGTAGCTGGTGTGGTTGCTGGGCAGCGGGGGTCTCCATGGGAACGGCCGGGCCATGAGCACTTCCTGTCATAGTTGCCCCTGTCCCGCCCTTGCTTAGGGACAGTACCAGGCGGTGACCCTCCCTCAGTGACATGACTGAGCAGCACTGCCTGGGGCAGGGGCTCCCCTGATACCACCCACCCTGGCCTGGCCTCCTGCCAGTGCAAGGTGAGGAGGGGACAGCTCTGTCGTTAACCCTCAAAGCACCAAGGCTCTTCAGCTCAGGGTTGGGGGACCCAAGGTGGCATAGAGCAGAGCAGGGGCACTGGGTGGGCGGGGCTGGGTGCTGGGCCAAGTCCCACAGACCCCAGACCCCAGAGCAGCTCCCACATACCTGGCACTCCGCCTCAGGGCCTGCTCCGGCCAGCCGGCTCTGCGCGGGCACAAAAAGGACGAGACGGGCATGAGATAGAGCATGGAGGGGCAGGGTGGGGTGGAGGGCACTCTGAGACCTAGGGCCTGGGATGTTAGACAAGGGCCCTGTGCCTGAGTGGGGAGTGGAACTTTTCATCTGCTTTGCGGGGGGCGGGGGGCAGTTTGGACTGAGGGAGGGGGCAAGACCCGAGGACAGCTCCAAGCAGGAGTCTTTCAGTCCCAAGGGGAAGCTTAGTCATTCTCCCCCTCCAGAGGCTACCATGGATGCCTTCTCACACACACACACACACACACACACACACACGCACTACACCACACAAACATTTTGAAAGCATTCCCACACTGACCTCTGCTCTGGCCCAGACCTTCCTTCTGCCAGCACCCCTCAAACCGCCCAGACAAGCCTTTCCCCTCCCTTTCCTCAGCCAGACCCTCTCTGGCTCCCCGCCTCAGGGGATCATCAGACCCTTTTCTGAGCTCCTCATAGCTTCCAGGGTCCCCTCCCTTTTCTCAAGGCCCTCTGACCCCATTAAGGGACCCTCATGACCTCAAAGGTCCCTCGAGTTTCCCTCACCACTGCCTGAGCCCTCTGGCCACGGTTCTCCCGGTCCCTGTTCCCAGGAAGGTGGTATAATGTGGTGCTGAATGCAAGGTCTTTGGAGTGAGAGGAGCCTGGGTTTGAACCCCTCCCAGCTCTGTCACTTCCTGCGTATTACCTTGAGTAAGTGACTCAACCTCCAAGCCTCACATTCCTGCACTGTAAAGAGAACAGTCAAGTTCTCAGATCAGAGAGTAGTTGTGAGAATTAAATGAATACATAGCTGAGAGCACTCAGCACAGTGACCGCCGCTGAACACGCAAGAGCGCAATCAATGGAGGATGTTGTTGAAGTCACATCACCATTCTCAGCTTCTACCCGTGCCCGGGCTGCCCTGACCATGCTGCAGCTCCTCACCGTTCTCGGGGTGCTCCATCTCTCCTATGCTGCCATCGGGGGTGGTGCGCTCATAGTGATCCTCAGGCAGAGCCAGGGGACCGAGTCGGGGTCCCGAGGATGACTTGCTGGATGGCGTCTCAGACTCCTCCAGGCCACTGTCATAGTAACTGTGCTGGGACGGGTCCTGCAGCTCTTGGGCCTGACTGGTGGCGGAGAAGGTGACGCGGCGGTGAGGTAACTGCAGGGAGAAGGAGTGTCATCGCTGGAAGGCCAGCCTGCCCCGGGTTGGGGGGTGGGGGCCCACCACCAGAGCCACCCCCAGCCCCAGCCAGGCCCGCCCCAGAGCTCCCGGGCCCCCAGGCCTCAGCAGCAACGGAGAAGAGGTCCAGCCCCGTAGCACAGCAGAGCCCGCAAGAAAGCGCAGACCCCCGTGGAGGACTGCCCCTTAATTCTGGGACAGCTCCCCGGAGAGCCAAGGCCACACACTGCAAGTCCCACCACAGCATGGCCCCAGGTTTATTATAGCCCCCAGGCCACCACAATAAGCCTAATCCAGTACAACCACTCGTCATAGCACAGCTTCCCAGTATTGGCACAGCCTTTAATTCCAGAACAGCCCACACCAGAATAGCACAATACCAGCCAACTTCCCTAATTCCAGCATAGCCTCAATCACGAGCGAGCGTCCGATTTCTAGAACAGCTTCCTTAAAGCAGTATGAACTCCTCATTCCAAAACAGCTCACCAATACCAGTACAGTTCCCTAATTTCCAAATAGCACCCCTGAACTTCAGCTGCTCACCTGTCTCATTGCTCTTTAACTTCCCATTGCCTCCATCCAAATGAGATCCCCATGTCTTTCTGATCCTCTGTTCCTACCCCTGCTGCGTGATGCTGTAGGCAGCCTCAGGACTCCCTGCTGCGTCCCCTCCCACTCGAGCCCCTTTGTCCCCACTTCATCCCCCTCCGGAGAGGCCTGGGAGTGGAAAAAGGTGGGAGGGAAGAAGGAAAGGGAGCCCGATAACAAGGATAACAAGATAACAAACCGGGGCCCCTTGGGGGTGGGGAAGCAGAACAATGGAAACTCCCCCATCCTCCAGATCAGGAAACGGAGTATTAACTGTAGAGGGCAGGGCCCAGGAGGACCTGGGCATAGGGGGAGGGGCCTGGCATCCATCAGCAATTGGGAAGGCTGGCCTCAAAGGGAGACTCCTTCTAGGAAATAGGAAGGAGTTTCTGGGAGGCGCTGCAGCTTGGTGGAGCCAGGACTTAGAACTTGGACTGGGGGTCGGGTAGGGGCAGTAGAACTGGGACAAGCTGCTCCCAGCCAGCAACCCTGTGTGCCTGCCACGGGTTAACGATCCTCCCAGAAACCTGGCAGCCTCAGCTTGCACTTGGCACAACCAACAGTCACCCAAACACCCACCTGGGACCGCCACTGATTTTCCTGCCATCCACAAATTAGGAGTTGCGGAGGGTGTAGACCCAGGGCCCCTGGAAGCCTGGGGTGGGGGCAGCTCAGGCCCAGGCCCTATTGCTGCTGAGTCTCCAGGCTCCCTCCAATCCTCTAAGACTTCACGGGTGCTTTGTCTTTACTCTAAAACCCTCAGTAGGACGTTATCAAGAAGGCCAGAAGAGGGGATCCTGGGTTTGCAGACCCATCCTCCTGATACCTTCCGATCCATCACAATCTTCATTCCATTCAAGGCAGCTGGGGTGGAGGAGGTTGTCAGGACGAGGAGCTCTTAAGCTGTTGGGAAGGCAGCTCAGAACTGCCTTCCCATCTTGGCTCCCACCTCATCTTCACGAATAGGCAACCCTTCTTGGGATCCATGTTGTGATCCAAAACACCAAAGGGTCTGGGTGATGACAGACGAGGTCCCTAAAACTGACCTGGGGCTGGGATGTGGTAAAGGAGCATCGTCCCCCTGGTCGAAGTGAACAGTCTCCAGTAGGGGTTTGTGAGGCACCGGGCAGTCTGTTGCTTCTCTTGCCAGTTTTCTCCAAGATGGTAGCCAGCAGCGCTCCCTCCCCCAAAAACCTACACCTGGTCATCTAAAGCTTCAGTCCTGCCTACTAAGCACGTCACTTGGGCCCTTTTTCCTGTGTTTTTTTTTTTTTTTTTTCCCTGTAAAATGGAGGGTTGGGGCATACTCAACCCTAAACATTCCCTATAATTCTATCACTATCAGATCTTAAAAAGCCTAGATCCAAAATCTCTCTGATGTCTCCTTCTCCTTCTCTGACTTCTGAACTTTTCCTGAAGTTCTAGACCTTTGCTGGTTATTTCCTATTGGCTGTCCCTACTGGCCCTTCAGATTCAACAAGTCTGAAACCAAATTCTTCTTTTTCTTCAATCAGCTTCTGCATGGGCAATGATATCGTCACTATGCCATCACCCAGACACAGAAGGATGTCTACCTGGGAATCCTCCTGCCCAACTCCTGCTCATCACGAAGAGCTGGGTCAAGTTTGACATTTTCCTTCCAGGAGCCCACTCCCATGTCCTATGCATGTTTTCCCCACACTGCATTCCTCATAGAAAGGGAGGGGGCACTATGGTCAAATAAATTTGGAAAACCCGGAGTTATACAAAGTTTAACAGGTCTCCCCCCTTTCTTGCAGGCTTCGCAGAGCCTTTAAGAGGCTAATGTGATGGTGCACCTCTTACTCCCCAAACTGACTTAATCAGGCGACCCCTCTTATAAAGCATTATAGATAACAGCAGACTCTGGAAATCACATTTCCTGATGCTTTGTGTTTGAATTCTGACTCCACCACTAACCAGTTTTCACTTCTGGAAAATGAGCATTATAATGACTTATGTCACAAAGAGTTATGAGCATCGAATGAGCTAATTCACATAAAGTGCTGAGTATGGTCCATTGCACCTTGTGTAAGGAGTAGAAAAAAAAAAAGAAGCACCTAGTAGCAGAAGGAATAGTGGAACCAGCTGGGAAAAGCTTCACTATGGCACTTCCCACGCCACGTTTAAGATGCTCAATTGCCTCATCTTTTCACTCGCGTACCTCGTAGGAATATGACCATTTCCCCTCAGGGTCTAGTACCCTGCTGATCACACAGTAGGAACTTGGCCTATGTGTTTTGATGATGACAATGGTGTTGTGGTTTGGTTGTGTCTGAATGTTGGGAGGAGGTGTTCAATGTGGCTCCATGGATGTGTTGGGTTGCAGCTGAGTAAGGGATAATCCCTCAGACCCTGGGAAAGAAAAAGAGATGAAGAGGCTAAAGGGATAGAAGAGCAACGTGGCGGCAGCAAGGGTGGGAACAAAGGAGAAAGAATGGTTGGTCAGGAGTTGCTGGCGGTCCCCCTAGAGATGCTTATTTGTCCAGGAGAAATGAGAAGCAACTAGATTTCACTTGCCCACGCCCCACTCCTCCAAAGCCCCCAGGAGTGTTTACTTTGGGGGTACCCCCAGGGCACTGGGGAGTTTGTGGATGGAATCAGAGTAGAGAGCTGGCGCCTTGGACCTCCCGGGAGTGTCTCAAGCCTCTTCAGTCGCCATGGAGACATGCTGCCTCTGGCCTCAGAGACTCCCCTATGACCTGAGGCCCCTCACCCAGGCTTTAGGCCCAGTGCCCCTCAGGCACAGCCAGAGACAGGGCAGACCCAGGAGAGCAAGAAGTGAGAGACGGAGAGAGAGAGAGTGAATGAGAGCCAGCAGCCCAGGACGGCCAGTGCAAGGAGCTGAAGGAGGGAAGGGAGGAGGGGCAGGACTAGGGTCCCTCAGCCTCAGTCAGAAGGGAGCACCCTAAGTGTAGGGATCCAGAGCAGGCCAATCCAAAGAACTTGAGGATTCCCTCCCCCTCCCTGGGCCCTCCCTCCCAGTAGCCCAGGCTGGTGATCATGGCGGGGACACGCAGGGCAGGGCCCAGTAATTGCTGGGCATTGAGGGTTGTTGGGATGAAGGAGCTGGGAAAGGGACTTGGGAAGATCTTGCCCCAAGGGAAGGTGGCTGGTACAATCCAGGGCTTCTCTGCCTTCACCTGAGGTGGGCGGGCTGCATTTCACCCTCACCAGGTGCTCTGGCCCAAGCTCTGTCAGGGGCTGCTCAATGTGAACAGATTGGAAGGGTCAAGTCCCAGCCAGTGGACAAAGGGCAGGACCTGGGTGCCTCTCACTTGAGTGCACCTGCCCTTTCTTGGTGAAGGATGTCATTCCTAGGGAGAAGGCCTCACAAACACAGAGTGAGAGGACGTGTTGCCAGATGTGGGGGCAGATGGGATGATGGTAAATGAAGATAGGGTTGGGGTATAGGGCAGGTCTAGGAAGTAGGAAGGGGCAAAGAGAAGGGATGGGGAAATTGGGTAGGGACCGAAGGACAAAGGGCCGTTTCCAGTCTCTCTCACTCCTTCTCTCAGTTCCGGGAAAATAAGAAACCAAAACTCCAAAAATAGAGAACTTTATTGTCAGGGTAAGTGCTTGGGACTGGGGAAGGGGAGCCAGAGCCCAGCCCCGGGAGCCTGGGGTGGGGAAGAGGCTAACACAGCACACACAGAAGGCACGCATAGGGAGGCCCCCCTCCCTGACAGAGTCCCCACCCGGTTACCCAATAGGACCCTAGGTCTCCCTGTTTCCCTTCTAGGGAAGCACCAGCGGGTGGTCTCAGCTAGAGAGCCAGGTTTGGAGTAGACTTCTTCTTCCCTTCCCTTCCCCCTTTCTGCCTCCACCCCTTCTGCTCACCTGCCCACCAGCCCCCACCGGCAAGACCCAGCAGCTGGTCTGGTGTCTCGGGAACTGACCGTCCCAGGCCTCTCCCAGTGGGGAGGGGGCAGGGAGGAGGATGCCACAGAGCACACCCTCCCTCAGTTTTCACTCAGCCTAACCCTCTGTGCCTGGGCAAGGCAGAAGGGTCATCACCCAGGCCCCGGCCTCCCCAGATCTTTGGTCCCACCTCCCACCCCTGGCTTGGGTTGGCCCCTATGGGCTGGTGAGCCCACAGGTCTGATGCAACTGCTCTGTCACTCCCATACCTCGGTCCAGATGGCCCCACGGTAGGGGTGGGGTAGGGGCCGGGGTGTGCTGAGCCGCAAGGGCTGGCCTACCTGCTTGCTGGGGTATTTGGGGGGGTTGGTGCGGTAGCTGTAGTCGGAGTACTGCTCAGAGCCCGTGGACGTGGTGTCACCAGTGCCCACAAATGTGTTTGCGGGTGGCAGGTCCTGCACCACCTGGTGCTTCTTGGAGGCCGAGGGTGACTGGGGCTGCAGCTGGATGGAAGGCAGTGGGGAGTTGGAGCGGTAGTGGCGGCCCAGGTCGGGGCTGCCCGGGGGGTAGTTGAGCGGCAGGTGGATGCGGGGGCTGTCTCCGGGCGCGTCGCTCATCAGGTTGAACTTGAGGGATTTCTGCAGCCCGGCCTCGTCCTCGTCTTCCACTGGCTTCACAGGCTTCGGGGACTTGCTCTTCTTGCCCTTGCCCTTGTTTCCCTTGGAGGCTTTGCCGCTGGGCTTGGGGGCGTACAGGTCCTTGGTCTCCTTCTTACCGGCCTGGTAGCCACTCTTGGCCTCCCGCTGCCGGCAGTAGCGCACAAGCACCGCCAGGGCAATGAGCAAGGCCACGGCCACCACCCCGGCCACCACCCCAAAGAGGATGTTGCCCCGCTGCTTGGAGCGCTCGTACTCCGGATCCCCAGCGATGTCGATGTCCAGTGGCGTGTCCAGGCTGTGGCCCAGCAGGGTCTCCAGAAGCGTGCGGTTGGCCAGGGTCTCATTGACATAAAGGTGGACCAAGGCCGTGCCATAGCGCGGGGGCTTGCCCCGGTCACTGACTTTCACCACCAGGCGGTGCAGCCCGTGGTGGCGCCGCTCAATCTCCTTCTCGAGCGTGATGGCTCCTGAGTGCGACCCAATCTGGAAGAGTCCATAAGGGTTGCCACCAGCGATGCTGTAGGTCAACTCAGCATTGACACCGGAGTCGATGTCCTCAGCTGTCACCTGGCTGACCGTCTCACCAAGACGTGTCTGGGGGGTCAACAGCTGGTGGGAGGTGTTGGAAGGGGCGGTGATAAAGGGCGCGTTGTCATTCTCATCCAGCACATTGATGGTGACGCCGACGTAAGCTGAGCGAGGCGGGACGCCACCGTCCACCGCCTTCAGCTGGAAGGTATAGGTGCTTTGATGCTCCCGATCAAAGCTCAGGCTGGAGAGGATGGTGCCCGTACCATTTTGGATAACAAAGTCACCATTGTCCTGCTCCACTGTGAGCTGCACCCGGGCATTGTCCCCTTTGTCCCCATCAATGACAGTCACCATGCCCACTGGACTCAGTGCCGGCATGTTCTCCATCACTGAGAAGTTGTAGCCACTCAGCATAAACTTGGGGTCATTGTCATTGCAGTCCAGCACATTGACAAGGACGGTGGCTGTGCCCTGCAGGCTGGGGCTGCCCCGGTCAGCTGCCACCACCTTTAACTCATAGCTGTCCCGTTGTTCCCGATCAAGGGATGTCTTCACCCGGATCTCTCCAGTGTCAGGCGAGATGCTGAAGAGGCCCTTGGCGGCTGGCTCAGGATCCAGAGAGTAAACCAGCTCCGCATTAGAGCCTGAGTCAGCATCGCTGGCGGTGACTTCGGCGACCACTTCACCCGGCTTGTTGTTCTCTGGGAAGGCGACCTCAGTGATGCTCTGGGTGAAGACAGGGGCGTTGTCATTGACGTCCACCACCTGAACCTTGAGCGAGTTGGTGCTGGAGAGCGGGGGGTTGCCAGAGTCCACAGCCACAATCTCTATGGTGTAGTCTTTGACCTTCTCGTAGTCGAGTGGAGTGGTGGTCTGCAGGAAGTATTTCTTTTTGCTGTCACTTCCCGTCTCACTGGCCTGGCGTAGCTGGAAGGGCACGTCATTTGCCACCACACAGGTGACAGCTGCATTCTCTCCCTCATCTCGGTCAGATACCTGCACCAGGGCCACGGCTGTCTCCTCTGCCACGTCCTCCGAGATATTAGCCATCCCGTCTTGATGGGTCACCAACCCTATGCCCCGGATCTCTATGGTGGGGGCATTGTCGTTCATGTCCTTCACGGTCACCACCACTTGGGCACGGGCACTCTTGGGGTTGATGCCTCGGTCCTTGGCGAGCACCGAGAAGCGCAGGGTACTTAGGTCCTCACGATCCACAGGGCCCTGCACAGTGATAAGTCCAGTGTTCCTGTCCAGTCGCAGAAGACGCCTCACCACCTCGGGCGCCTGGTGGAATGTGTAGTCGATCTCCGCGTTGGCACCTTGGTCCGAGTCATTGGCCTTCACCTACAGGGCAGGGGAGGAAAACAAGGAAAACAGGGATGGGTTAGTCCCGGGATAGCACATCAGGGGACACGTGAGCTGCCTTTGCCACGAGCACGGCAGACAGAACTCATCTCATGCGGCACCCTTTCCAGAAGCAGCACAGAGACCGCCCTTTTCCCAACCCCAACAAGCGGCAGATAGTACTGATCTCTCCCCGAGCAGCACAGACGCAGCCTGCAGATCCTCCCCTGTGTTACAAGCAACTAGTAGAGATGGGACGGGGCACAGTTCGACTCTGCTTACCATTCCCGTACTAGTGCCCAAACACGGGGATGAGGATCCAACTAGCAACGGAGGCAGCCTTTCCGCCCAGTTAAAGTGGCCTTCAGCCCTTCCGAAGGGCTGCAAAGGTGTGAGGAGTAGAAGTGGCATGTCTGCATGACATGTGTGCGTTATAATATGCATGCGTGCATATACATGTGTTCTGAGACTGGGAGTATGTGTTAATGCGTGAGAAGGTAGGTATTTGTGCACGTGTGTGTTTGTGCAGGAGTGGAGACCCACAGGCCCACCTGGAGGCCACAGGTGGGGGGATTTCTTTTGAAAGCAGCCAGGTAGGGGGCACCTGGGTGGCTCAGTTGGTTAAGCAACTGCCTTCGGCTCAGGTCATGATCTTGGAGTCCCGGGATCGAGTCCCGCATTGGGCTCCCTGCTCGGCAGGGAGCCTGCTTCTCCCTCTGACCCTCCCCCCTCTCATGTGCTCTCTCTCTCTCAAATAAATAAATAAAATCTTTGGAAAAAAAAAAAAAGAAAGCAGCCAGGTAGGGATAGGGGTCAGAAGGAGCCTACCGGGCCACTGCTTCTTCAAACCGGGGAAACCTGTTTCAGCAGCTTCTTCTCTCCTGGCTGGCGCTGGCTAGGCACCAACTTGAGGAATCTGGGCGGCTGAGCCTGCGGCCGAGAGGGAGGGGCTGGTGCAGGCCACAGAGCCTGCTCGCAGCGGGCTGGGATCCCAGCACCAAACAATGAACTGTCTGTCCCTTTGCAGTGGGCACGCCCTCCCACGCCAACGCCGACGCACACTCAGCCCAAGTCTACACAAACATGGGTGGTGATGGGGCAGCAGGAACCTGGTGGGAATGGCCACAAGGTACCGCTGGTCAGGGAGAAACAGAGGGTTGGAATTCTGTCACAGTCAGGCAGAATGTGCCGGCAGTAGGGGTGGGTGTATGGGGGGAAACGGGGAGCACAGGACAGCTATAACTTGGCAGAATCTCTGAGGAGCACCGCAGAAGAGTCCTGGGTTCAAATCCCAGCTCTACCACTTCCCAACTATGTGACCTTAGGCCAATTACTCAATCACCCCAAGCCTCAGTCTACAAATGTATAAAATGGGATAATAATAGAACCTATTTCACAGGGCTGTGGTGAGAATTAAATAATACTTGTAAAAATGCCTAACACTGCCTGGTACGTGGCAGGTGCTCCCTAAATAGCATTTATACCTCTTTGCATCTGCCCATCCACCTGTCCATCTCAGCGCGAAATCAGTGCTAACACAGTGCTGGGCACTGCATCTAGTGGTGTCTCAAACCACTGCTAGTCTTCTCCCCTTCCTGTCGGGCACCAGGACCTTTTCGACAGCGGAGACACCTGGGCAGGGCATCCCAGCTATCCCCGGCCCTGTTCACCCCTGTGAGAGCCAAACTCTGTTTCTTCTCATCACTCGCCCTGCCCCCAATCTATCTCTCTGTCACCTACCTTTTTGTTAGGATTCCCACTTCTCCCTGTCTCTAGACTGGTCACCCGGCTTCTTATCTACCTCTCCTGCCCTCTTACCTCCCTTTGTCTCTGTGACTCTTCACTTCTGTCCCTGTTGCCCTCCCAGCCTTGCTCAGCAATTTCTGCCCCTTTCCCATCCTCTCTTTTCTGCCCCTTCTCGAGCCCTGTCTCTGCCCCACTCTCCTGCTTCGGCCCACTGGAAGGGGTATAGCTATTACATACACAGGCTTTGAAGCCAGACTGGTGGACATAGCCAGAGTGGGATGTGAACACATCAGCTGCGTGACATCAGGCAGGTTTCCAAATCTCTGTGGGCTCAGTTTCCCATCGGTGAAATGGGGATAATGCTTACCTTGTACTGTGAGGATTCCATGACATAATATACATAATGTGTTCAGAACAGTGCCTGGCACCCAGGCTGTTATTATTCACCATCTCCGACTGTCTGTCTCCCTTTTCTTCCTCAGACCCTCTTCTACACGTTCAAGTCCACCAGCCTCTAAAAAAAAAGGCTAAAACTCCTCCCCATGCCCCGCTTCAGTTTAAGGACACAGAAGGAAGGGTTTCCCAGGACCATAACGGTGTGCAGGGCAGGCCGAGCCCTCCTCAGCTCCCTCACTTCAAAGACAGACAGCTCCAGCCCAGGGGGAAGGAGAAAGGAGCTGGGGCTGGCAGGAGGCCAGGGCTGAGATGACAGCGGGAGATACGCCCACCTGTCTGCGGGGACGCTTTCTTTGCTCCCTCCCTGGCCCTGGCCCCACCAAGCTGCCCAGCCCCTGGGGCGGTTCCCATGGAGTGGGGTGCTGAGAACTTCAGCAGAGGCAACCGACCCCACACTGTGCCAAGCACCCCATACTCATGAGCACCCTGTGCCTAGGGAAGGAAGCTGGTGTGCAGACAGACATCTGAATGCAGTTTTCTAGAACTCTGCGGACTCACTTGGTGAAAATAATCTCATCTGACTGTGAGGGAGAGGCAAAGAAAGGCTCTGTCCTCTAGCTTCGGGAAAATCTCATCTGGCTAAATAAAGGGCGCTGGTTGGGAAGATATTCTCATCTCTGGAGAGACTGCTCTTGCTCCAACTTGGCTCGCCTGGCTAGGGAGGAGGGTATCACTTGACTTGGGAGGGGGTTTCACTTCTCCGAAGTTTCTCCAACTTGAGTGTGATTCGGGGAGGGGGGACTGCTGTTCCTGTGCTATGTCACTCCTACGAAGTAGCCTTTTTTCTTTTTTTTAAGATTTTATTTATTTATTTGAAAGTGAGCGAGAGAGAGCGTATGAGCACGGGTGGGGAGGGTGGGCAGAGGGAGAGGGAGAAGCAGGCTCCCCGCCGAGCAGGGAGCCCGACGCGGGGCTCGGTCCCAGGACCCTGGGATCACGACCTGAGCCGAAGGCAGCTGCTTAACCCGCTGAGCCACCCGGGCGCCCCTGCACTAAGCAGCTTGATAGAGGAAAGTAAGGATAGGAAGGTCTCGCCGGTTGGGGGCTGGGGAGAAGAGCTCTTGCCACAGTATCCTGGCAGTTAACCCCTAAGTGAAGGGCACTCTCACCAGGTGGGGCTGAGCGCCCATTTCTAAAGGTGGGAACCCTGACAGTTAGATGGAGGGACCTCTCACCTGGATGACCGAGTGGCCGATGGGGCTATTCTCGGACAGTTCAGCCTCGTAGGAGGGCCGCTCGAACTTGGGGGCGTTGTCATTGGTGTCAAGGACAGTGACTCGCAGCAGGGCACTGCTGGCACGTGGGGGGCTGCCACCGTCCTGCACCTTGATGGTGAGGTCATAGGAATCCCAGCGCTCCCGGTCCAGGTTGCCCATCACGATGAGCTGTGGCTGCTTCCCCTCCTGGTCCTCCGCCACCTGAAGCCCAAACAGCTCCTGGGCCTCGGGCCCGGCCTGCAGCTCATAGGATGCCACACCGTTGGGGCCAGCGTCGCGGTCAGAAGCCACCGGGATGGGGAAGAGTGAGCCGATGTTGGTGTTCTCGGGGATGGGTAGCGTGATGACGGGCGAGGCGAAGTTGGGCGTGTTGTCATTGATGTCCTGTACCTCTATCTGGCCCTCTAACAGCCGGGGACTGCCGTTCTGCACCAGGTCTGTAATAGACACCTCAAACTCCAGGATGCAAGGCTCACCAGGGAGCTGGTTCTGGCATTCACGGAGCCCCTCGCGGTCAATAGACGTCTCAGTGGTGAAGATGTCTCCCGTCTTGCCGTCCACCCGCAGGTAGGGGGCGCCTACCTCTAGTTTGTACAGGTGGCCCACATCTGGAAAGCCATAGTCAGCTGCGAGGCTCCCAATGAGGGTGTTGGGTGGCTGTTCCTCCAGCACCTTGTACACCACCCGAGTGGCATGGCCTGGGGATGCCGCCAGCAGAAGCAGCACTGCCAGCAGCAAGGGGGGCAGCAGCACCCGCTGCCCCCCGGGGCCTGGGCTGGGCCTCAGGGGCCCCATCCTGGCAGGCTCTCGAATCAGGAGGGCTGCAAGGAGAAGAGGCAAAACAGGAGGTCAGCTGGGAAAAGGAACCTGGCCCTGAGGGTTGCCCAAGCCAGGCCCTGACTCTCCCCCTGCCATCTATACGCTATCCCATGAAGAGAGCTCAGCCCCAGCCCAGAACCCCGATGCCAGACCCCAGAACCCTGAGTTTCACCCACAGCTGGGAGGAGCAGCAGTGTCTGCCCCAGCTGGAGGAGCCGGTAAGGGCCTGGAACAGGTCTAGAGCAGCTCCCGCCCATGGAACGCCCTAACCCTCCTAACAGTCCCTCCTCCCTGCTCTCTCTTCTGTGCTTTGCCCAACACCTCCTTCTCACCAGCACCCTGCCTTAGTCACCCATGGTGATTACCTCGATACTGAGATACGGAGAGACAGCAAGTGGAAGGGTAAGCCCTGAAGCAGCCCCCACATACATGGTAGGAAGGAGACACAGGCACCCCTTATGTTCCCTGGACCCCAAACTGAGGGCCACTGGCCACTCAGGATGGCTGGAGGGAGCGGGAAGACGTCTCGTTTCTCTTCCTTCTGAGATGCCAGTCAGCGTATGCGTATGAGATACGACACGTCAAGTCCCTCTTTTCTGACAGTAATCACCCAGAGTGCCCAATGCCCCCATCCCCATGAAGGGCCAGCTTAAACGAGGCACCCATCAAGGCTTGAAAACAGCTAGAGCTGAAGAGTAGGAGTTAGCCACCCACCTCCCCCCAGACACATACTGCCCCCGGCTCGGTTCCCAGGCCTCCTCCTCCCTTCCTCCCGATGTTTCCACTGGGAGGAGGGGAGACACTGACAGGTGTGTGGCAGAAGAGTGTAGAGGTCAAGATTGGGGTCAGGACTGTGGTCAGGGCTGACTAGCCCTGGAATTGGCATTGGGAGCTGCCCTGGCCTGTCCTTAGCAACTGCGAGCCCAGCAGGTCTAACTGGGACAGAGCTGCCAATGCCACCATCAGCCTGTTCCTGACCACTCCCCTCCAAGCTCGGCTCCCAGTCTCTCAGTAAACATCCGGCTCCTATTTGACCCCTCTCCCCACAAACGTCTGGCCCCTATTTCATACCTGGCCCCTCCCCCTTTGACGGGTCCAGTCCCATCTCTGACCTGCTTCTCCGTGCCCACCCCCAAATCCTTCCAATTGGAGTGCTGTATGCCATAGCCAACTACAAGCTGCACACTCATCACCCCAATAACCCACTTCCACCCATCTCCCCCTCACCAGCTTTGAGGCTATGCATTTGCAGACCCCAGCCAGACCTGCTACTGTCCCAGTCTTGACCCCTTCCTTCTCTCCAACAAAACCATGGCCAGCCCCTCTATTCAAATCCAAAGTCAGGCCCTGCATTTTCAGCAGAGGGCTCAGGCTCACTCTCCTTTCCCCATCTCCTCACTTGCATCTGAAATACCTGCCCCCCCCCAACCTGGAAATCCTACCCATCCTTGTCATAGACCACACCTACTCCACTGAAGGCAGGCTCTGGTCCCCCAGGAAGCCTTCCCAGGCCTCTCCAGCCCACGGTGACCTCTCCTTTCTCCAACTCACAGCCACTATTGTCTGCCCCAATCCCAAGGCAATGAATCACTGAGCTGCCCGGACCCCGCCCACCTGCCTGTGTCGTTCAGCCCCAGTACTGCGCATCTATTCCTGTGTTCTCTGGCTCCCCGGCCAAATGCCAGACTTCCTCAAGGTAGGGCCAGACTCCCTACACTCGTTCCCCTGCCCCGACCCACGCATGTTCACAGAGCTGGGCACCACGCATTCAACAACTGTTTACTGTGCATTTACAATGTGCGAGGCTCTATCCTGGGCACTGGGACACAGCAGCATATAAGATAGACTCAATCTGCTATCGTGGAGCTCACAACAGCTCAAACTCAATGACCGTTTGTCATTTTTGTTTGGTTGTAATCATTTGGCACATGTAAGGAATCAGGGTGGAGAAGACATCAGACAGTCTGAGGAGAACCCCAACTATCCATTTCCTGGGTGCTGAGCAGGAGAAAAATGGTTTAGGGCCTCAGTTTCCTTATCTGTAAAATGGGAATAACACCACCTATTTCCTAGGGAGTTTGAGATCATGTGGGCTAAATGCCTAGCACACACATGAAGTACTCAACAAATGCTCCCTTACAGCACTTACAATTGTAGTTATGTGGCTGTTATATGAGAAATCATTTGTCAATTGTCTTTCCTACAAGACTGAGCAGAGAAGAGAGCCTCTGCTTTGTTTGCTCCTACATCCTCAGGACCCTGCCCTGGACTTGGCACAGTAGGCACTCAGTAAGAGCTCCTGAAGGACTACTTTAGCTCCCAGGTTTAGCCTATCCTGGCACTTTCTGGGTGGTCACTGCTTATTTTCTTGCCTAATTCCCTTACTCCATCAAGAACCTATTGGTGTCAAATTTAATCCTTCTCTGTTTAGGTCCATAGTAGACTCTCGGCAAATGCTCAGCGAATGTAGATTCCTTACACAAGTCAAACACTTCACTTCCTTCACGTAGCACTCCCAAACCGCACCTCCTCCCTGGTCACTCCTTGGCAGTAAAGTGCTCAACGTATATGAGGTTATTATCAGATTAGTGTGTGTGCTTGTTCCTAGTTGCAATCTTAATCTCTTTAAAGGAAGGAGGAATTTATCTAATGCTCCGTATGGATCCACCCTCTAGCCACTTCCCATCTACCTGCATGGACCTGGCACAAGGCTCATCTTACTTTCAAGCTCCAACCCAAACACCCCCAGAGGACTGTCTCCAGAGAACCTCATTCCCTTCTAGGTACCTTAGCCTGCCTTCCCCCCATGGCACACACACAGTGGATCATTCTGCACACCAATTCCACGCATAAGTCTTGGCAGGGTGGGGGTTGTATGGGAATTACCCTAAACCTGACACAGAGGAGAAATAAGACAGTGACTGCTTGCCTCACTCACTCTCCAGAACAGGGATTCCTAACCTTTTTAGATCACAGCCCCCTTCATGAATTTTATGAAACTATGGGGCAGATTTTTCCAAGAAAAATGAATGCTCACAAATTTTGGCTATAAATTCAGAGGTCTGTGGTCTGACAGAGTCAGGGTGACTTTGATTTGTAGCAGCTCGAAGAGCTACAGATTAAGCCCGTCCTTCCCCCTCTCAGGGTCAAAACCCAGGGCTCTGACCCCTCAGGCCTCCCAGGCAGCATAGACACTGGAAGCCCCCCCCCATACATATTCTTTTTCTGTCTCACTCATTCACCCTGTCACCCTTAGAAGATCCCTGACCTCCAGCCAGCAGAGAAATCAGGAAAGGTATTATGGTATACAACCTCAGAGTTGGAAAGGGAACCACAGAGAAATATCCAAGGCCAGGAAGGTATGGGGAAAAGGGTGTTTCTGGGAGGTAGGAATTTAGGGGAACATGGGTTTGGAGGGGTGGCTACCCAGAGTGAAGGCAAGAGTTGAAGATGGTTTAAGGCCCATGAAGCACCTGGAACATTCCTTTAAAATGAGTATCATCTGCCCCCCCCCCCACCCGGAATTCTGATTCTGGGGGAGGGACCTGGAGAAACCCCCAGGCAGTAGGGTGGAGGAAACAGGATGCACTATGAGGGAAAGACTACCTCGGAGACGTACTAGGTCCCTGGAGTTGAGAAAGAAGTGCAAATTCTGTCACCTTTGCCATCATCCATCATTATCACTGCAGTCGTCGTCATCATCCCAGCTAACACTCCCTGAGGTCTTACTGCGTTTACATACATTATCCCATCTAATCCTCCCCACCCTCCCAGACGGGTACTTTATTATCCCACTGCCTCCCATCGTACAGATGATCAAACTGAGGCTAAGAAAGAACCACGAACTGTCTCAGGTCATAGAAGTAGTAAGCAGAGTCAAGATTTGAGAAATAAGAATGCCTCTTCACATCCCAGAGTCTGGGGAAAAGGCTGGATGGGGGGCGGGGTGGGGGAGGAAAATCCACAGAAGTCTCAGAGGCTAGAATATGTTGGCTGAGTAGCACCCCCCAACCCCACCCCATCCCTGGGCTGCCAAACTTGCCTGGCAAGGAAAGAAAGAGAGAGGGCTTAGGGTTCAAGGCCTGAACGACCCCAAGCCTCCCAGCCTGAAGCTGTCCCCTCCCCTCACCCAGAGGCCCTGGGGATGCAGGGACAGAGTCAGAGGGGCCAGGAGCAGCAGTGAGGCAGCCCTTCCTCACCCCTGCCCCCACCATCCCTGAACTTTGCCCAGGTATGGTTGGTTATGGAGAGTCATTAGTCCCAGGTGGCATCCTGAAGCCATTAGCTCCTTATCTGCCCTTGCTGCCTTCCTGGCAAGGGTGTCCCCACCTCTGCCCAGTGACATAGACACCCAGGACCCTGAGAAGCAGAGCTGCAGGGCGAACCGTGACTCATTCTTCTCAGGCCTGAGGAGAGCAGTGAGGTATGAGGGGGCAGAGTCCAGGAAAGCCCAAGGAAACCGCCATCTGTGTCAACACGTTGGGGGTGGGGTGGGGAGGATAGCAGTGAGGGTTCACCTGGATCCTTCATTCCCAGCCCACCTCAGGGACCAGGGTCCACTTTCTGCTGAATGCTAAAACACCCGGAGGCAGCCATCCGTGTCCCATTGACCAAGTCAGCTCTGACCCCCCAGCCTTACCCCTGCACTCTTATGCGGCAGCCACTGCCACCGTGGGCACAAAAACCAAGGGACAAAGCCAACCTCTGGGAGAGGAGGGTAGGCCTTAGCAGGGCTGTGTGGGGTGGAGCTGTTCAGAGGCTTCCCACAGTGAGCAAGTGCACAGCCCTTGGCTCCTCTCCCCTCTCCTCTCTCTCACAACCCTCTATTAGCCTCGGCAGGGCTTCCAGGCACCTGCATTCTGGAGTCAGAATGTTGGGGTTCAAACCCTTGCTCCACCACTTCCTTGCCATGTGGCCTTGGCCGGGTGACTTCACCTCTCTGAACCTATTTCCATATCGTGAAATGGAAATAACCAATTCTGGCTCTTGGAAGTTATTTGGGAGATGAGATCCGTGGCATTCAGACCTATTATATTGTGAAGGACCAGTATACGTATAAAATAACTGAACAGAGCATTTTATTTCCAGCACCAGGCACACAGTAGGTGCTCCTCGGTTCAGTAAACAAACTAACCCATCCCCTGCTAGTTGGGAAGACCTAGGAAGACAAGGTTGGCGTGGATCTCACCACTATACTGCATCCTCACCACCCACTACGGGCCCTGGCAGATACAGCTAGCAGGTGCTCAATACATTGTGGAAAGAATCTCACTCTGCAACACCAGCTATCCTTGCTCATGGTCGGGGTGGGGGTGGGGGGCTACCATATCAGAAGGGCCTCCTCCATCTCCTACCCCCACCCCCAGGCCCTCTCCCATGCTTCCACCCCTCTCCTCCCATCTCTCTCTAGCCCAGATCCCCTGACCAAGTAGCCCCAGCAGCAGCCCCTCGGCCAGGAAGATGCCAGACCAGCAAGACACCCTCTTTCAGCTGAAGTCCTTCTGGGAAGTGGCTTGGGGCAGAGAGGGGAAACTAAAAGCTGCCAGAACTGAAACCAGATCTGCTCCCCTACTACATTACCCCTGCCTGTCTCTGGAGGCCCCTCTCACTCCTCTTCCCTGATTCCGTTTCACGCCCCGGTCTAGTTGTAATTACAGATTTCAATCCTCCCAGACCTCCCCATCAAGCAAGTAGCCCCCACCTCTAGGCTGTCACAAACACCTTCTGAGCGCCCTCTTTCCTGGCAGCTACCGAAGGTTGGCTCAGAGCGGGTAATGGAAGGCTCCCTCCGTCTTCCGGCACGATGTCCTGGACTCCGTCGCCGCCCCGGCAGTCCCCTGTCTGCACCGCTGTGGTCAGCGGGTGCTCCCCGCACACACCCAGAGCGCGGGCGTCTCCTCCCAGAGGACGTGTGTGTGGCGGGGGGGACGGCTGTTCCTCCACCATCCTCGGACTCGGGCGCCCCCACCCCCACCCCAGCGACACAGGGCCTCCGGGAGCTCAAGGCGAGGCGGGGGCGCGGTGAGAACGTGCCTCGGCCAGTGGGCCCCTTGCGCCCCCTGCTCCAAGGGCCGCCACGGGGAATCCCTCCTCCTCTGCATCTCGGCCCTCTGCCTCGGGTCCCCAGCAAGCGGGCGTCGGCGGGAGCCGAGCAGCGGGCGCCGGGAGGGGGCGGGGAGGGAGCCGGAGCCGGAATCACAAAGCGTGGCGAGCCAGGCCGGGTGGGGACATTCTCCTGAAACGGACCCTCTCACGGCTAGCGGAAAGGGGTCTTTGCCCCGCGCTCAATCCTCAAAGACCTCAACGCTACACCGAATATTTCCAGCTAGAAGAAACAGTCGCCAATCACTGCTGGGGAAAGTGAGGCCAGAAGTCTGGGCTCCCGAGGGTAGCTGAGTCCATCTCGCCTACCAGTTCTGCTCCTGCGCGTGCCGCGATCTCCCCTCGGGCCCCAGGGCCTTGCCCGCGCACCCGACTCTGGCCTGCAGCCGGCACCCGGCGAACAGGGCGTCCAGGTGTGAGAGGGACACAGGTGTGAGGGACCCAGGTGTGCTGGGGACCCAGGTGGCTCGCAGAACGCAGCTAAATGGCCCGAAGGGGGTCGCAAACACCGCCCCAGGCTTGCACCCTCTGCAAAGGGACCTAGGGCCTTGAAGCCCAGGCCTGCCAGTCCAGCCTGTTCCGGGAATACCCGGCCGGCCCGGCCTCGGAGTGGGGGTGGGGGAGACGCAGGCGGGGAAGCCGGTCCGGCCAGCCCCGAGGGTTCCCGCGGTGCTGAGAGTCACAATAACAATGTCGTGATTAAGAGGAAGGGACGCTAGGGGCTCGCCCGACCGCCCCTCGGCTTCCCCGGACGGAATCTGGCCTCCGAGGGAGAGAGACTGAGTGTGCGTGTTTGTGTGTATAGGCTGCAGGTGTAACGTGACACTGTTGGTGCAAGGTGTGCGTGACACCCCGTGTTAAGATGTGTGAAGCAGTGGATTCTGTGTTTGCGCCCGTGAGGCGCCGCTGTAGGTTCTACTTCTATGTTAGGGTGTGTGCAGTCAAGGCGTGTGCTGAGACACTGGGGTTGTGTTTGTGTGGGTGCAGTCGAGGGGGGCAAGCGAGACCTGTGCCGTGCATCTGTGCTCTGGCCAAGGAGTGGGTAACACAATTTATGTTAGGGTGTGTTCCTTAAAGGAATATGTACGGGCGAGGTTAGGTTTGGAGTGTTCATTTGCGAACCGCGGCCGCGACACTCGTCCATGAGGGCACGGGATTGTGTTTGTGTGCTCATGTCGCCGAATGTCACACCCGGTTGTGTTCTGTTGCTGTTATGGCCACGGGTTGTGTGTCGGTGCTGCTGAGCGTGCAGACGCTGAAGCGGATTGTGAGCTAGTGACGGTACCCCAGTGGGCGCTGGTGTGCGGGTGGTATGTGTGTGTGCACATATGTACGGATGTATGTATGCGTGTACATATGTCCGTGGTCTGGCCCTCCGGGGGCCCGCGGGGAGCTGGAAGCGCCTGAGTGATCCGAGCTGGTCGCCCAACAAGTGTGTGTGTGTACATTGTGTGTGAGGGTCCTTGGCTGCTTCGTCCTCGGGGAGCCCCCCCACCCCAAACTGGGGGCTGCGCGCTTCCCCCGACCACCTCCATTCGGCGCGCTCCTAGAGTCCCCTTATTCCCCGCGGCTGCAAACACGCAGGGGTGCGGGACGCCGAGGCAGAGACCCGGTTCAGCACCCCCTCTCCTCGCTCCGCTTCTCGCCGCGGACTTTGGAGGCCGGGATGCCTCGACCTCAACCCCCGGTCCGAGCTCCCAGCCACCCCCACCTCCGCCCCGGCGCGCTGAGCACCGCCTGGGCCCCCGTGGCCTCGCTCGGCTGAGCGCCCCTCCCTCAGCTCCGCCGGCTATGGCCGCTCCCGACCGGGAGCCGCCGCCGCTGCCTCCACCGCCACCGGATCCTTACCCGCCTCGGGGCAGCGCCGGCCGCCGGCCCTGCTGTCCATGAGCCGCCACCGGCCCCGGCCCGGGCTGCGGCTCGGCACGGCTCGGGCTGGCGCTGCGGTTCAGGCTCCGGCTCCGGCTGGCTCTGCGCACAGCAGCCCCGGCGGCTTCGCGTCCGCGCCGCGCTCCCGCTCCCCGAGTGTGTGAGGCGGCGGCGGCGGCAGCGGCGGCGGCGGCGGCGGAGCCAGCAGCGAGCGGAGCGCACAGCCCGGCCCGCCCCCTCCCTCCCCCTCCCTCCTGGCCCGCCTGCCCTCCTCCCTCCCGCCTTCCCGCCCTCCCCCCACCCTCGCGGCCGGGAGGTGGAGCTCGGGACCGCTCTGGTCCCTCTGGGAGGGGACCCCGAGCACCGCTCCCCGAAGCCACGACCCCCCTTCGCTATCTCCTCACTCCCCGGGACCCGGATACCCGGGCCGTCCCCCTCCCTGGGTCTTCACCTTGCACTTATCCCCCCCCCGAGCCTCCATCTGGGACCCTCCTGAATGCCGTTCCTAACCTCACTCAAACACCTGTCCTCTACCCTGCCTCTTGGGAAGTCGGGCAGGGGAAATGTCTTCCCCTGTGCCTTCTTCCCTGGAGGGCATCTGCTTCTCCGCATCCACCTTCTTCCCGCGCGGACCTCCAGATCACCCCGTGTGGCCCTCCCTTCCCACTGCGCTCCGGGGAGGTCCCCCCCTCCCCCTCCGGCCGAAGCCGCAGAGCGGTCAGCCTCGGTGGCCGCAGCAAGCCGTGGGGGTGGGGCTGTGGAGGGGACCTTGGGAGCAGGAGGGTAATGGGACTCGGGGGCTCCTCTAGAATGAGGATGGGGGAAATCTACAAGAGTGAGAATGAGGTGACACGCCAGAGCTCGGGCTTTTCGAGGGTCCCCCTGTCACCTGCCCTCAGGGCGGGATGGAGCTGCGGCCCCACATATTTACCAGTGACATACACACATTCACAGACTCATACGGGTCCCTGCCCCACGAGGCCGCGCAGTGTCACGGCCTGTGTCACACGCCCTCACAGTGCCACACGCTCCCTGTCACACTCACACTCACCGAGTCACACACGGTGTCACACGCAGTGTCTTACACACTCCGATTCTCAGTTTCTCCAGCTCAGCTCTGGCTCTCTGGCGCCATCTGGAGGCCTCTGAGCAGCTTGGGAACTCCCTTTCCTGCGCTCAGGGTTTGGTGCCCCAGGCTCCAAAGTGCCCCACTTCCATATGACCCCCTGCTTTTTACCACATATAGGCCTAGCCAGGGTGTTCTAGGACGGAAGGATGAGGAAGGCTATCCCTGGCAAGGCCTGGCACTGGGTTTGGAAAGGCCTATTACGGGATGACTGGTTGCCGGGCCTCTATTTGTCATAGCCTCTGTCTCTTTCCTGTCCTCCCCCATTTTCCCATCCCTACCACTCTTTCATTCCCTCTTTCCTTTTTCTCCCCTACCCCCCACCTCTCTCTGGAACACTCTTCAGGGTAAGGTGGGATCTCTGGCCAGCTACGGGGGCGAGCAAGGACTGCCCAAGATCTCTTACGGAGCAGCCCCCCTCAGCCAGCCTCCCTTTCTGACCTGGGCCTTGTTCTAGTCCCTACTCCCAGCCCTCAACCCCAGGAGCCCAGGTGGGAGGCTCTGGATGGGAGATGGGGTGCGCTAGTGAAAGGAGGATCCGTCTTGTAAGCGGCTTCTCGATCTCTGTCCCCTGCAAAACTCACACTCTCCTCATCACTGAGCACAGCTCCAAGGAAGAAATCAGTGGCCCAGAGAGAAGAAATCTTCCACAGAGGAGCGGCCCCATCCTCCCTGCCCCCAGCATGTGCCCACTGCCCACTGCAGCAAACCCTCCCCAGTCGGCTTGCTTGGAGCCATTCAAAGGCTCCTCTGTTCTCATTCCTTGCTCAGGGCTGAACAAGATAGGCAGCCGCAGAGCTGGGCAGGAAATGCTAATTTCCCAGATGTTCTCCTCCATCCTCCCTGCTCCACCACCATCAAACCCAAATCCTGCACCAAGTGGTAGGAGCAGAACTGGGCCAGAGCAACACAGGGTGTGTCTACTCTTCTCCCTGCTCCCCATCTCCTCCTACCCCAGCTGCCAGGCTGGGCTCTGGGTGGGGGGTGGGCCTGAGCCTGGGGCAATGAAGATATGGGAATGGTACCGGCTCCCCCAGAAAGGAGGGCAGGCAAAGGGCAGGGACTAAGAGGAGGCATCTGAAGAGGAGAGAAGCCAGGCTCCTGGCCTCATACCAAACTGGGACCTGGTTGGCAAGTAGAGCACTGAGCACTGGGGGGCTCCCGAAACTGATGGTGCCTGAGATTCCAGCTGAGACTGTTGCCGGGGATTGGAGCCTGGGGGATGCTACGTGTGGAAGTGGTTGATATTCTTGTGGCTTTAGGTTCTTGCTGTGATATGTGTGTACCTGGGATGGGCTATGGCTAAGAGGACTGGGGTGCTGTAGGGCCGGGCGCTGTAACAGAAAGGGGGTTGTTTCTGATGGCAGCTCACAGACTGTGGCAATGCTACGAACCTGGTGTGCATAGGCTATAGTCAGAACAACCACCAGATTACTGAAGAGTCTGTTGCCGGGCCGTGTGTGTGTACATGTGTGTGTTCACGTGTGCATTTTGAGGGGAGAGCTGTAACTGGAATGCCACTGGGTCTGGAGCTCTAGGTGTAAGGCTGGCACCCCTGAGAATGGCCATAGCAAAGAAGCAGTTCTCCGAAAATATGACGTAGGTAGAGCTGTAGCTGGAGCCATTGCCTGGGTCCTAGGAGATGAGAGGCTGTTGCTAGGAGCCTGTACCTGGGAGGAAGTCCGTTACCTGGGATCAGAGCAAAGCCACTGTTGTGTATACGATTGTAGCCGGGACGCTATTGGTCCCGAAGCTATAGCTGTGATGACAGCGTACCAGGGATTGGCTATAGCTAAGATGCTGTTGCCCAGAAGGGTGGCTGTGCTGTTACTGTGTGCAGGAGTCTAGCTGGGAGGCTGTTACGCCCGCAGCCATAGCTCTGAAGCTCAAGTGTAGCCGGGAGGCCATTTCCTAGTAATATAGCTGGACCACTGTTGTGTGGGGGCTGTAGCCCAGACTCTGTTGCCTAGGAGATGAGAAGCTGTTCCCTGGGATGCTGTTCTGGGAGGCAGCATGCAACCTGAGATGGGACTGATCTGCTGTTGGAGCTGATCTACTGTTGTGCTTGGGATGGTTCTGAGTGTCTGTTGCTGCGCTGGCGGATGGCTGGGTAGGGGAAGGCAAGCGAGTTCTGCCTTGAGGTCTGGGAGATGCCAGGAGCCCGAGGCTGGGCGGGGGCTGCCGCTCTGGGGAGGCTTCAGCAGCTGCTCTGCTGTGGAGCTGGGAAGCCTGTTTGCATTACTGTTTTAACTCTTTTTTTAACCTTGTTTTTCTCTCGGCTGCACTTTCGCTCACTCATTAATTTTGGTATTTTTCTCACGGTGCCTCAGCCCCTGTCACGGCTGCCATGGCAACAGGAGGCAGTGTGCAGAGCGCCAAAATATCTGATCAAAAAATAACCAAAATAAGCAAACACCAAACCGGCTGTGCTAGGGGCTATGGCCAAGAGAGAGCCCGTGGCGCAGGTCCAGGAAACTCGAGGCTCCCAAGGGACCCCTTTCACTCCCCCCTCTTCTCCAGGGAAGCTTTGCTGAAACTCCTGATAACCTGGGAGGCCCCTTCCCAAGAGACCCCCAACAGC